GCTCGGCCCGGGAGCTCCGGGGCCGCCTCACCGCTGCAGCCCTCCCGGTCCCTCTCGAGGCAGAGCTCGCGGTTTGCCGTCTTTGGAAACCATTTGGCGTCCTCTGGGGCTTCCACATCTGGAGTTCTTCTTTCGCACTTCTGGCAAGAGCTGTTTGGTTTCTTGTTTTGCTTGGTATTTTTTTCTTTCTTTCTTTTCTTTTGTCTTTTTTTTTTTTTTTAATTGCTGCTCCATATTGGTAAGGCAGTGTCCTTCTCCTGGAGTGGCGGCTGCCTTGCCTGGTGCACCCTGTGGTGATTCTCCTTGCTACGTTTCTTGGTTCTTTCCCTTTTCTCTCTTTTGCTTTTAAATTCAATGGCTGCAGCCTTCCTGCTGGCTCTTTTCCCTGGGTTGTTCTGCCCAAAATTTCCCCCACCATCTCCAGCAGTTGTGCCCTGCCACTCTGCCGGCCTTCTGTGCTGCTGGTGCAGAAGAGCAATGCAGAGATGCAGCTTTGGAAGGCCAGGGTGGCAGGGGATGGAGGACCAGGCACTGAATTAATTGAGAAGCTGCATATCCATATCCCAGATATCTGCCCACTGTTTTTTGTTTTGTTTTGTGTTTGTTTGTTTGTTGTTTGTCCTGCACCTCTTGGGTCCTTTGTTGCTCTGGGAGGCAAGGACCATCCTGCCTCTGTCTCCTGAATGTTTCCAGTAGCAGATTTCTGGGAGGTTAAAGAGTGCTGTGGGAGTCCCATGAACTTCTGACTGCAAGAAGAATGTCCCTGTTTTCTGTGCCCTGCACACCTGCTTCCAGACCTCAGTGGCTAAGAAAAGACTTGATGGGGAGGTTATAAATGTGGTCTGATTTCCTCATACATCCCTATTACAGCAATACCAGCCCCTAAAAGCAGCACTCCAGTTACTGCTCCCACCCTGCATTCCAACATCTGGTTCCCTCGGCTGCCCCGTGTGCACCAGCCTGTGTTTGCTGTGCCTTGTGGTCCATGACGATGGAGGTGGGGGTGTCGCGCTGGCCTTGTTTCCGCGTCCCCTTGCACTCTCCAAGGTCCTGTCCCGGCACCTCCAGCCCTAGGGCCAGGTCCTGACTAGTCTGACTATGTCTGACCCACTGAGAGACTTCTCAGACTCCCCCTGGATCTTTGGTCTTGGTATAAGCTCCCATACAGTTTCATGCTCTTCTTTCCTCCTGCTCCATCTCTTCTTTATGCATTGAAGCCCCTGTGCTGGATGTGAAAGTACTGAGCCATATTTTCACGATGGCTGGATGTTACCATATCTCCACTCCTGAGACACTGGCTGCAGCTGGAGGAGAGGTTGTGTTAGACTCAAGACAGACAGAGACTCAACCTGAGTAGGACACAGTAGCTCTAGGATGATGCTCAGAGACCGGACAAGAATATAATTTTCACTCTTCTACTTGCCTTGGACATAGCAGAGCTTTGAATCTAGGTTTGCTGAGGTTAAGATTTGACTCCTTAAAATACAGGAGCATGACTGTTTTGGTGTTCTTTGATTTGCATTAACGTAATGGAGTGGGAGAATGTACATGGCGCAAGATGGTACTCTTTTGAAAACAAACTCTTACATGAGAATCAGACGATGCAAAGGGTGGCCTCATACAGTGCAATCAAAGAACTCCAACTTTCATCATTCATTTTCACTTCAGAACACCTAAAGTTTTGTAACAATTAAGTGTTGCATATGGCGCCCATGGCATCTGAGCTGGTTAGAGAGTATTAGATACAGGAAACAGCTTCTCAGAGACTGGTTTGTACCACTTTTCCACTGTTTAGACACTGGCCACATTTAACCTGACTTCCGTTCTCCCCTGCTATACCTCCATCTCTGCGTTTCCCCTGCAGGTGAGTAGTTCTAGGAGAGGAAATACCATATTCATGTTCCACAATGTGATGTGTAAAATGTTCGTATGAAGTGAATCTAACTGTTAATTAAGCTTCTTACATCTTGAATTGATTGTGTGGGGTTAGAGGTATACAGAGAGCTCTTCAAATATCATAAGCCATGCTGACCTAACTCTAGTGGTGAAAGCTGCAGCGAAGATAAACAGTGCATGAGCAAGACTTCTTCACCATCCCTTGGGCAAGCAAGGGGAAATGGTGACCAGTGAGCCACCAGAAAGGGATTTATTTCTTCTTGTTATTTATTGTCACAGGCATCCATAACAAGGAGGTAATATAAGTTTTGGGTGACTTTAGCACTTTCCAGCAAGGGAGAGTTCCTAATATAAGAGATCAGATTCTAGGGACGTAAAGGATGGAAAGGGGAAAGGTTGCATTAGCATATTAAAGCCATTGACTGGAGATTTCTGTGGGAGCAAAGGAGACTAGAGCAGAGCAGGTTCATTGGATAGGTGGACCCAATGGATTTGGACGCTTTTGGGGGGTTGCTTATGCTGAGTGATGGTTGTGTGGCTGTCATGTTGGCTGGTTCTTATCCAAGCATCTGGTGAAAATGAAACCTGAGGTTTGGCCATCTCCCTTTTTTTCTTTCCCTTTTGCTGTAGACATTGTTCGCAGTGACATTGCCCTGGATAAGCAGAAAGGCTGTAAGATCGCCCAGCACCCTGACATTATGTTGGAGCTACAGAGGGAAAAGGCAGCTCAGATGCACTTGGTTTTGTTAAAGGAGCAGTTTTCAAACACATACAGCAACCTCACATTAACAGGTAAGGCTGCGAGACCAGCTCTGGAGCTAGGAGTTGATACTAGCTCTTGCTAACTCATAGGTCTGTTAAAACCCTCGGGTGCTTCACCTTTCAGCATCTCTCAGGTCACCTTTGTTTTTCACCAAGATCACTGGGTACTGGAAGGGAAGAGATGGACAGGAAATCGCGGTGGACTCATAAGGCCTTTCAGCTGGCACCTACTCAGACACTCCAGATTTGGTGCCCAAGGACAGCACGTTTTCTGAAGTCTGATCTAAGCAGAATACCACAGGAGGTGAAGTGCTGTAGAAATCTCCCTGCTAAATATTCACGTCGATGGGGCTGCAGCAATTACTAAATTTGGAGTCCTTTAAGCCGCAGCTGATTTTTTTTTTCAGAGCATGCACTTTGTGTGAACCCAGTAAATATTAAAGAGCAAATATAAAGGGATAATGGCCCAGACAGAGCTGAGATGATACTCTTTTTCTGGCAACTGTTTGTATTATCCATGGAACAGAATCTCAAAGGATGGAAGAGACTGCCACATTTTGGATACACATTTAATGGTGCTTGTAAAGGACTGATGTCTTCAGGCAGTGAGTGGGCAGAAGGATGGGATCACAGCAGTGTCCTTTCATAGCTGTTCTCTTTATCACTACAGCTGGATGAGCCACAGACAAGGAAGAGGAAGAGACTAATAAATCAAACAAGCTCCTCTTCCCCTCTTGCCTGGTGCCTTTCCCCTACAAGGCAGGGAAACATCCCTCTTTTGGGGAAAGGGGGTCCCCCCGCTCTGGCTGGGGAGGCCAAGGCAGACCCTATCCGCAGTGGTTGGCCACCCCGGCAGCAGGAGGAGAGAGCTGTGGCAGCTCCACAGACCCCGTGCCGGCCTCCCCTGCAGCAGGGCTCCGAGCGGGAAAGGGCTCCGGAGCAGCCTCGCCGCCCGCTGCCGCGTCCCTGCTTCGGCACCCGGCTCCGAGCCCATGGTGGGACCAGCCCTGCAGTGCTGAGCCCGGCCTCCCCGGAGCCTCTGCTGCAGCCAGACCTTGAGGGACTCTTGAGGTGGCCTGGCAGGGGGCTCAGAGCCCCGGGCCCGTGGGCGAGCGTGGCTGAGTCACACCATTCCCAAAAGCCCGGCGTTTAAATGGGAACCTCAGAACTGCTTCTCATTCCCTGTAACATAATCCACTTGGCTGTTTATTCCCAGTACAACTGCTGGAATCAACATTGTCAGCTTTTCCCCTGACAACTTGCTTACTTTCCACTAAACAAACTTCCCTCGAGAAGAGAAGCTGCTCTCCCCTGTCCTCCTTCCCTCGCTGCTTCAAAAGCTCGCAGGCATTGCTCACATTTTTTACAGAACCTGCAGAGCAGAGGTGCTACCTGCTTATCAGCTCAGCTCTTAGCCTTTCCAAGTGTGTTTACAGGATAGTTCAGGAGGTTTTAGCTCTGGCTGTCCTGAAGGGAGAGAACAATTTCACTGTAATATTACCCAAAGAACTATTTTAATGTCCTTTAAATCCCTCTGAATGTGGGCAGAACAACTTCATAATTGTTATGAAGTTTAATCTTTTATTTCATAGACATAGTCTGAGAACATGGACTCTAGACAGCTAAGCATAATATTTAACTGGAACTCTACTAACTTGTGTAAATATTTCCCTTCTCTGTGATGGATCTGGTGTTTGGGGTGGGCAGAGGGGGTTGTACATCTGTTGTAGAAGGGCATTCCTTACCTTCAAAATTCAATCAGCCAGAGTTTGCTTGAGGACTTCTTTTTGTTCTGCACAGTGTTTTTTGTATGCTGTTATAGGGAGACCCCAGGTCAGGAGCAAGGTCCCAGAGGAGTGGTTCAGGAGCAAGGATGCAGGTCTGGCTTGGGGTGGGACATTGAAAGGTATCCCTGAGTTTGCAGGGTTGAAATATTGGGGACCCTGCAAACAAGGAATCTCTCCTGAAGGTTTGTATCCACAAGTCACTTGCAGTATGTGTATTGTGGATGAGCCTCAGGACTTAGTGCCCGATCCAGACTGAATGAATGTTCAACCCCAAGTCTCCGTGCAAGAGGCATTCCTCATATTGCTAGTTTCCGTAGCACTTTATATAAAGAACCATAAATGGAGCATCTTGCCCAAAGTCGTGCCAGAAGAAAGGGCATACCTAACCCACCACCACCCGAGAGCAAGAAGAGCATCATGAAGTCAGCCTTATTCCAGTGCTACTACCGCCACTGCTGTAGTGACTTGGGTAAGAAGTCACCTTCTCCTCCTCCTCCTCACAAGTGATTCAGTTACTTGAGCAACTGGAAACACTGCAGACCAGACCTCTGAGGCTCTCTGCCCATGTGGTTCGCTGATATTGCCCTTGGGCTTTCATGCTGGGTGCTCTCATATTTAAGAATGAGAATCTCAGAGTGCAACTGAGCAGTCCCTGAGGCATCATGGCGATTGTAGGTCCCTGGCCGCATTCCTGTGTAAACCAGGAGCTTTCCCATATATATTTGGTAGCTACATGTAGTTTCCAGCATGTTCCTTATCTCAATGATCAGGCAGGGCTGCATTTTTGTACTGGGATTTGAGCTGCTCCCAGCAGCAGGTACCTCAAAGGTAAGAGAGTGTCTTAAAATGAAATGTGTTCTTTGCTTTTTTTTTTTGGTATGTGCTAAGACACAACTGAGACTGACTGAAACCAGGCAGTCTTTCTGGCTCCTGCTCCTCCAGGAACATATGTTAGACTCTGGCTTAGGCCACTTCAATTTCTTTAGACAAGTATGAGCTTTCCTCTGCTCCTGTCCACAGGCTTTCTCTTGCATCTTGCATTTGTTTTCTGTACGTGATCTTTCCAGGCTTACTGAGTCTGCCTCGCTGAGATGAGTGATCATCTTTGATCTGTGGCAGTATTACTTAAATGCTATAAAACATTTTGGGGCTTATTAATCTCCACTGCTTCCCCTTGCTGCTCCGAAATTGGTGTCTTGTTTCCCAGATCAGCATCTCCTGAGCTCTCGGAGAGGCCATGGTAGAGCAGGAGAGTGCCTGGACTTCTCTGCTTCTCTTTGCGACCTGCTGTCTGAGCCCAGCCCGCTGAGGTGATAGTTGAGGAGCACGAGTCCTTTTGTAGAAACAGTTATCTGCTCTTTTCAAATCAAATAGGTGGAGCAAGCTGCCTGTATCTGCAGGATTAGAAGTTGCAATAGCTACAGTTGGTTCCCTTGCTTTGCAGTCCTTGGAAGAAAGGACCAGGTCACATTCAGATGATTTGGAAGCCCCAGAGCTATGGGCATCAGTGTGTGTGACACGAGGAGATGCCCTGGGACAGGAGAGATGTGAGGCACATGTGGGTATTAGTGAGCTTGTGGGGAGCAGGGCAGTAGCAGGCAGAACTTTAGCAGATTAAGTGTGAAACCCTCCATCTGCAGTGCCAATTCATGCTGGGTTTATGTATTGTGTTTGTACTTTCAAAGACTGGATATATGCTGATTTCTGCTTTGTTATTAAGTAAAGCCATTTAAGCCTAATGGAAGAGGGAATTGCTCAGAAGGTCAATAGACATATGTGAGAAACTGTCCCCTTCTGCATTTCTGTGAAATGTTAAGTGTAACCGAGCTTCCCAAGATACAACCATGAACCATAAATAGTGCATTTGCATTCAGAAGTTCCCATCCCAAGGCAACCAAACACTGCTGCACTTGTCATTATCACTGGACTGAACGGGGGAAAAACATCTCCTCTTCCTGTCCTACCTTCTGCCTGAAGCTGCAATGCAGATTGCTTCCCTGGATCAAAAGCCTGTCCTGCAATGTCCCATTCACACTATGTGAGGCAATGCAGTGTGCATGGTGAGAGCACCCCCAGCCTGTCATGTTGTGCGACACAGCCTCGAAAATCAGGAATCAGGGAATGAAAGTCTCCCCAGGGGATAAGACAGTTTCCCCCGGCTGGACACCATGAAGTTCCACACTGCCCAGGACCTTCACAGAGACCAGCAACCTCCTCCCAGCTCCACCAAGCAGCACCTGGGGGAACAGAAACAGGTGGGAACTGAAAGAAACTGAGATCAAAGCTGCAGGAGGAGACTGAGGGTCGTTGCTTGGGTCTGAAGTTGCAGTCAGGTGTTTTACATTGGCATCTAATTTTGAGGCTTCTATAAGAGTGGTTGTGAAGACTATGCAAGGCTTTCTTGGGAAAAGGTTGTTTCTGGAACTGTTGGTGCCTAGACAGAAGTACCTTTTGGCTAAGGTGAGTAATACCAGTGCGTGCAGCGGCTGAGATGGCGGGAATGTGAGTGCGAATGATGCCCTCTCCAGTGATGGTGGCATGTGCAGGAGTTGGCAGCAGTGAGCAGAGCTGAGGGTTTGTGAGCAGTAATGTCAGGGTGGGGTCCTTGTGTGTTAAATGTGTGTAGGGTGGCTTGGAGTGGAGACTGGGGTAGTGCATCTGTGTAAGGACCTCTGCAAGTGAGAAGCTGCCTTGCAGAAATATGTTTTTCTCCTCTCCCCCAAAGGCAGCAAGAGCCACAGTTGCTCTCGCTCCTTGGCAGGGGATCACATGGCTCAGGTCGAGCACCTGTGACATTTGTGTTTCCTGCACTTGTGAGCCTCCCACGGTGACCAGCAGTGCTGCAGTTCCTGCTGTATGCAGTTGTTTTGGGAGATGGGGGTCCTGGAACAGGATGCCTCTGTGGGACCTATCCTGCAGAGGCCAGGAGGGAGACCGGGATTTGGACACTACCTGTGCTGGGATCTGTGAGGAGAGCTGGGTGCAGGGCTGAAAGGGCTTTGAGTGCCTGCACTGCTGAAAGGTTGCTCTGCTTTTTAGTTTTTATATTTTTTTTTTCCTGGAGTTTTTCCCAGATGCATGGTTTTATCTCTAGCTATAAGTAACCTCCATGGAGACTGTTCTGTGGGTGTGTGCAGGGGGTTATCACTGGCTTGTGGTGCTGATCCTGCTTTGAGACAGGACCTGAGAAGGTCTCTGTCTGGCCTCATTGCAGAGGTAAGTGCTGCTTTCCTGACTTTTTGG